GGTGGAGAGCACGCGGTTGTCTGTCGATAATATTATGCCTCATCGAACGTTCACTATTGCATAAAGTGCCTGAAAATTTAAAAGTAGCAAAGTATTTTACCTGGATGAAGTAATGAGAGCGAAAATAAACACACGATGTAGATGCACAGAGGGGTGTAGTTGAATGAGACAGACGATCACTGGAAAACGTAATTGGCCTGAAGGACAAGCGCATATCATCGGCTAAGAAATGAGTTGATTTCCTAGGTGGTATATATATACATAAATAAGTATTCGTTCGACAACACAATACACTTCCTCGACCGTTCTCGTGTTATCTCCCAAGTAATCAGGTGAGGGGTCGGCATATAGCACGTTGTGTACCAGCATTGAATTTCCGATACGATCTGTCATACCAGATCCGATGACGATCAAGAGGATACGCATGAAAAATTTAACTTCCTGGTCTATGCTTTCTTAGTAGTTACATATACACAGTACTTATGTTGGTAGTATTGTCGTTATACTTATGATACTATTTTGCAGCACAACGTCTTCAATTTCTTCGTATGATGAATCCAAAACTTCTTAGATATCGATACAACGCCTAACAAAAGGCTCAACGAATCGTCTTTTAGTATCAGATAATCCTATCAATATTTTAGTGGGCTAGAAGCTGACAGTATAAGTGTGGTCGTTGAGTATGGTATGGGGAGATATTGTTTCATATCCCCCAGTGAGATAACCTATTCTTATTCTAGTATCAGAACTTGAATACTTACATCTAAAGTAATATATAGATTTCAAGAACACAACTTGCCTCTTGTTACAAAGTCCAGCACCCTGAATAAAACGCGAGATCCTGAAGGTACATTGAAGCGGTACGCACTAATACTTCGTCTCAACAAACTTAACAAGAAAACGGCCTGAAATAACTGTTTAGCTAATATTGGAATTCTGTTATATGAGTCTGATGAAACTGAATCTATGTAGAATAGATTAAAGACATTAAAACTTGTTGGAGAACCTCGCAAACATCTCAAGATTCACCTTACGAATTATACATTTCGGAAGTAGACGTGTTAGCCATATTGATGTTAAAATCATTTTCGACTTTATATACAGTATTCGATCGTCCTAATCTCCAGTATTGCATACAATCGCCTAGCTCTTTCTTAAAAAATACAGAGAGCTTTTGGAAAACGTTCAGAGAGCAGCAACTAAACTGATTCCCGGAATAACGAGGCTTCCGTATGATGCTCGACTGGCCAAGCTAAACCTATTCCCATTGTCATATCTAAGAACTAGAGGTGACTCAATCACATATTTAAATTAATTATTGATGAATTTACATCTGGCATGTCCTCACTTTTCTTGTCCGCCAAAACAGAGAATTTACGAGGACAGTAGGTTTTGTTGGGCAAATGTACTTTTAGTACATTCGAAATATCTCAAACCACAGGCTTAAAACAGATGTAATGGTGGACATTCCCAGAAAAGTGAATCCATTGTCTATTAATACCTACGAATAATCCAGTCGACTTTGGCAGAGCAACCAAATTAGTAGTGTTGCTTACTAATATGTACCACATTACTCCTAGTCCCCAGATTAGCAAGAAAACACCTGGTCTCAGTGCATATATAGGACATTATCATGTGGAGTAGTACCTGCTAATATATGTTCTCAATGTGTGATTAGTACGAATCAACTCGGTCTGCTATTAAACGCAACCCGATTTCGTAAACGTGACAGTGTGCTTAGCGACCAATCAGAATGAAGCGGGAATTATTATGTCAGCCATCTTGGAATGCAATGGCGACCGGCTTTCTTCATTCTGTGCTTTTTCCGCTATTTCCTTTGTGTAGCTACATAATTTAATTTTTCAGTGTGCTAAAATGCAGAAGTTAATGTTATACTCTAAATGTTGGAGCAAACGTTTTTCTGATTTTACTTCGTTTTCTGGGTTTTGTGCTGCTGATACTGAAGTCAATGTATTTCTTCAGCCGAGCTGACTAGTCTTATGTTTTAAAATGATAATCGGTTTTCTTTTGACTTGTTTTCTAGATATCCAAAGCCGAAGTTCGTTTTTTATCTAAGATAATTGTTGCTGCCACCTGTGACTCTAACTGTCCACATGTTCGTTCCTAACTGTCCCTTATGATGTTATCGGCAAAATAAAAGGAAACAATCTCCGGTTTTTAATTTTCTTCAGTATTGTGGACAACAATATTTCAACAACGAATCAAACTAATACTGATTGCCCAGCAGTAGTTGATATCACTATTGTTTTCGAAAGGACTCAGACTTTCGACAACCGTAGACGAAGTCACAGATACTACCAATCTATTTCAGAGAGTTTGTTATAAAAAATATGTCATATAGCAGTAATAGAGGGGTTGTACCCGTTACGTAGTGCGTTAAAGCAAGCTTAACATCGAAAAGCCGGGAATCTGCTGTCAGTGTGTAGTTTATGTTTGCTGTTTTGGCCATAAAAGAAAGCCGAAAGGTCATGGTCAGGGAGTAAAATGGTAATTAACTGTTATTAAGCTCACTCTTTTATAGATCATATTTCACCACTCGCAAATTTGTGTTCTTTCACAGTATGATATCAACCGGTACCTAATATGTTTACCCTTGCGATGAAAAGTACCTGCAAATTCTCACCTTCATATTCGAATTATTTTTGGACTACTGTCTTCCAGTTTGAGTGCTTTGTACGCCCTGGGGAACTCGATTCCTACATTATTCGTAGTTCCAGCATAACTTTCAAAGTAGACACTAGTCTTTCTAAATAAGCTTGTTAAGCCAATATCCGTATTCTCTATTTTGGTTAATCGACGAAGACATGTATCATGTGCATCTGCTGTATACTGCCATTTTACTCCAACGTTAACTGTTATATCTTACTTATGAAAAATAAAATTTATATGCAGCAAATACAGACTTATTTGTTTTGATGGAGGTAGGAGGGTTCATGGGATGTTTACCAGGACTGTAGTAATATTCTCACTAAGAAGCTAAGTGAGTGCGTAGACCAATGTAAGGTACCACACAGGGTGACTTTGAGTTACTAGTGTTCCATTAGTGTGGGTAGAGGCATTGCCTGCTTATCATATGGCATTTGAATAAGAAGCTATGAGATTAGACGCAAGGACGGTTAGAATGTGTAACGCGTGTCCATCCATCAGCTGCCATGACAACTCATGATGGTTAGAATAAGTTATGAAAGGACCCGAGTCTGTAGGTTTCCCAAGAAAATGACGAAGATATGTATTACATCACTTAAATTTACTACATATGAACTAAGTGCTTAGAAGCTCGTGTTTCACAATTTCCTTGCAGTGATTAAGTAGATAAAACAAAGTGGCTGTAGATTTAAAAATTTATTCAGGAACTTTCTTTAGGAGTCGAATATCAAACAAAGGTTTAAAACAAGTTCATATTTAAAAGTTGCATTGGTAATTTTAAGCTGCAGTCTTTGTTGTTTTTGTCCAAACGAAAGGGTAAAAGAAGTAATTCAAAAAATACTGGAATTGGTTGTGAGACTAAAATGGACGTCCAGCATTCTTTTTATAATGTGCTGTTAGTTGGGTCTCCCTTAAACAGTTTCATAGGAGCATAGTTCTAAGGGCGAAACAGTTGTAGCGGTAAATAAATCCCCAGAATAATTACCTCTGTAAGTTTTCGACATTGGATGCTGACCACATGTTTTAATGGACTCACTTAGCTGAAGGCGCTCAGTCATGCATCCGCACCAGATCACGAGTGAGAACGCCGTGCTCAACAACTTCAATCGCTAGCCAGATTAGACCAGACGATTCTCGATATATTGATATCATATCAAATATATCTTCGAACCTCCTCACTTCTGTCTTTTGATTTCTCTTTGTGCGTACGCTTCATATTAGGTGTTACTGGTTAATGCGCTGTCAAAATCTGAATGCCTGTGGCATCTTCACAGTTTTTCCCTTGAGTTCATGAATATTAGGTCAGGTCATCTAATATGACTTGTGCAAAGCATAACATGGGCTTAGTGCCCTATGGTAATGCTTTCATTATTTTGCTCCCATTTAAGTATTCCCGTGCATCTGCGTCTAGTCTAACAGGAAGGCGCTCAAGCAGAGTTAATGTCTGATAAACTAAAAGTCCCAGTTGTCAAAAAGATTCTTAACATTTGTTCACAGCCAGTTTCATTTAATTGAGACACAGAAGACTCAACCTCTAAGACTGTATACTGTTGTTTTACAGGCAAATAAAAGCTCAGACGCTTAGCTATCCTGCCACCGATGTTATTGCTGGGGAAATTGTTTAATGACAGTGATCCTGAAATATAGTCAGTGATAGATGTAGTCTGGAAATAAACACCAAACAGTTATCGCCATGTATGACAGCAACAGCATCAAAGGCACGTTTTTTCCTATTTTTAATCAGGCCGATTTGAATCAGTATACTCATTAAAAACAGGCAGCCTTACTTACTAAACTGATTTGATTCGTTACAGGCCTCAAGCACTATACTTAAGTATACCATAATTCTTTCGACTAAACTGAATTATACGACAACCAAGAATACTAAACAAAGCAAGTGTCATAATTATTGTTTCATTTGCACAACATGTTGCTCAAGGTAGCTAAATGGGCATAATCCATCCGATAGAATCAAAACACGAAATATAGGCCAGCTGAACTTACCTAGCAGAAGACAAAGGATATATATAGTACTTTCAGACTAAAAACAACAGTCAGTACAACAAACCTTTCTCCAGCAACATTATGCACCGACGGTCTATCTGGAAACAATCAACAAGGTGATTAAACTCTATCTACTGGGATATCATCTCGGCATGCAATGAACGTACAGTGTAACGCAGTCAGTCGTGACGAATAAAAATTACAACTAGTGCAAAATTAACAGCATAATCTAGTTATTTAATAAAGAATACATTATGAAATGACAAATTCTATGAGTACATGAACGCACAAATGACCGTTATTGCACTGGGCGATACATTAGGCTTACATGGGAACGTCACGGATAAATTCACTAAGAGAATTCAAAGTAAGTGGTAGTTGATTGTATCATGGAATCGTGACAGTTTTAAACAAAGAATGATGAATAGTGTGAAATGAGCAACAATGTCAATAAATATTTATATAAAGGGTTCGAATAACAAGGAGCGCGAATAGCGACCTGGCGCGAATGTTCAACTGACAACTGCCTGTAGCTTTTGCCTATCGTCCATACCGAATGTTAGACACTGCAGATGTGAGTGTACCACATTAGAGTTAAGCTTATATTCTGCCTCTAGAATTGTTGCCTAGAGTTTTTTGTATATTGATATGGTATTGGTTTGTGCGAAATCTTTTTAAAATTTGAGATATTCAATGTTTATCTACTCATGGTAGTGTTCATCACACTTTTAACGAGCTTCTCCGTTATCGTTGTTGGTTTGAAGTGTCTGTCGACATTTCTCATTGAACGACAACTCAGTGTTTCGCCATGTCTTGTGATAAAATTAACAACAACCACTCATGCTTCCTCCTTAGTATTTTCGTTGTAGTTACAACCATCTAAAGGAAAATTTACTACATTACTTAATACCATTAAATATATCAGTCTATGGCAGTAAGTGTAACAAGTTCATTAAATCAGTAGTATGCTTCTGAGTATGTTGCATAAATATTGGTGACCCAATAATGCTGGTTGTACAACTTCATTCTAGATTGGCTTTTTGGACATAAACAAGCCTGTTTCGTCCTAATCTTGTGCATTTTCATAGGTATCAGAAGGGTAGTTTTGAGAAAGGTTGCTGGGTTTGAGTCCGTATCTCCTCAGTTGTTTGTGTATGAATAGTCAATAAAAACTAGGAGCTATTCAACAGTCTAGAGACAGCTAACTTTCATATTCATTTATTTAAGATCTCATCTGATAAAGTAGTCACTGTTTGATGTGCATTTAAGGTCAAATGAGTTTTCTGTTTATGTACAAACGTCTCAAGTCTGATTGAGCTGGTCGAGTTATGTGCGTCAAGTAGTAAAAGTAGTATCCATCTCACAGATTATTAAAATTTATTTTAATCCTAAATCTCCGACTATAAAACTGGCCATCAAAAATAATACACTTAGGAGAAATGGAACTGTCACAGTAAGTAGGCTTGATATTAATGTTAGCTCTTCTTTCTGTGCTCTGTCAAGCTCATAGTTGGTTAATGGCTAGTGAAATCTGTATGGTATCAGGTTGTCTCGTCTCGAACTGTCTTGCAGCAATTCTCCGTTCATGACTACCTGCCTGAATTCAGTAAGATAAATATAATTTAAAAGCAGTCTCCGTTTTGTAGGTAGGTCATACCTAATTTCTGTCAGAAACTTACTGAGAGTTCATTTTAGTACGAGCACGTACTACGAAAAATATCCTTCAACTAGTGCTACGTTTTTTAGCAGTGTAGGAAAGCTGTTATTCAAAAATTAGGGAATCAGTAGACTAGTAGAGAGATGGATATGCATAACCCTACCCAAACTGTATTCTTACTCACAATTTTGTAGTAGTCTTCACCTCAAATTTCAGTAAAGGAGGCTTCAGTTTTAAAAACTAAGGGCAAGTTTCTCTTTTTTAACCCAGTTTGATAAAACCTTTGATTTAAGATGTCTTCTGGGATTGTAACTGGTTTTTCAAGTGCATGCCTTTCAACTACATTTTTGTGCGGACACTGATGGTATTACCTAGTTGGTGGCACTGGTTGAAAGTCAGGACCCTCGCCGTTAGGACACCTCTACGCGGCTTGTGAGATTAGTTTGCTAGTTTCTGTGGTCACACAACGACATCAAGGGTTTAAGAAAGTCAGTCGCCGTGTTTTTTATCTCCGCAAATCGCCATCAAGCAAATAAAAGTAGTAGTGGGAAGTCATAGACTGAACATATGTCGCTGTAAGTGCTCTGAAATCAACGGACTTGCATTCGACTGAGATGCTATAGGAGATTCTTAGTTCAGGTGGATAGTTTGGAAGTTTCATTCTCCAAGCTAGATGGCTTGGTCGTTAAGCCTTCATTGTTCTGAACAACATTAACACAAACTTCAGGTAGAAATGAAGTATCCGAATTTCTCCACATATGTCTCAGTTTGTCCAGTCGACCTCGATCTTGATTAGTTGTTTTTAAGCTTTAACCTGTCGTTATCTACCTCTTTATTTTGATTGTATCTCTCTCTGATTTGATTCCCGGTCTTATATTTGTTCGTGATTTTCCTGATTAGTTGGTAAATTGAATCGACTTTATTGTGCTTGTTGATTGCTGATTGGTCTGATTGCTAAGTTTCTAAAAATTCCCTGGTGTTTGCAGTATTCCCTCTACTGATTTCGACATTCTTCCAATCGACTGTGTTCATAGTTGTTCATGTGCGTTGATATAAACGAAGATATGTCATAGCCTCTGACCGCTAATTGACATTCATGCAGGCGAGGATGAAGGGGACATCCACTTTGTTCGATGTTGTGTTTTTTGTAGTTGAGACAGTTTATTTTGTAGATGATGTTCGATTTTTCTTCTTTTGTCATTTTGTCCTTTGGTGTACATAAAATTAATTGGAGTGATTTTACTGTTTTGTGCTACACCCATTACAAACGCCTTCAATAATATCGTGATTTCTGATGTCTTTTATGTATGATAGGATGATCCGTTTGTTTGCTTCTTTATTTGATTTCAATTCTGATGAGTTGGGACGATATTTTTCGGTGAATTGCGTGGGTAGCCGTTTTTTTAAAGGATAGTCATTGGGTACTTTTCTTTATTCTACAAGTGCTGCAGTGTGTTCTGGCCCTCGAATAAAAATTTTACGCAGTTGATTTTTGTGCATTCAACCAATAAACATATACTCTGGTTAATTTAAGCCATACATAAAGTTTAAGTAGCTTAAGGTTTTAAGCAACCACTAAAAATACACTTGGGTTTCTCGTCTCATTAAAACCTTAAATCTTACACAGATTGTAACAGAAATGTGTTTCATGCAAATCTGGAACTTTTCTCAGTTCAATTTTTTCATGAGATTTTGTTACGATTTGAAATACTGTGTAACTGCATTTAGAACTGATAACTATAGTATCCCTATGTTGTTTCGGAATGGCGGAAATACTTAAATGTGTATTACAATCTTTGATCCTTATCCATCGAACTATGAAAGTTATCTGTGGATTAACAATATTTTCAATACTTGAGTTCATCTACTTATATACTTCATCTTCAAAGCTATACGATCGTACCTGTATAAAATAATCAACGTGATAGAAGGTCTTTCCCATGAGATGTTTATATATGTTAGGTGGAATTCGCAGAGTTCAGTTCATACAGTTGTTGTTGGTATCTTGACGTGGTGGTCGGGTTTACCTATCGTGATGAAGCAAGCGAGCTATACTGGCTGGAACAACCGTTCCTCAAGGTCCTACCATGTCAAACAGGTCGGTTGAAGAGCGGTAAGACTAAAAGCAACAAATCCGGGGTCCAAAGGCTAAGTCGTACTGCTGACTGTACAGAGGTGTGAGGGTAGTGAGGTGTTTCCTTCAGACAACCAGCATGACAGCGATGCTGCCTTCCCACAAGGAGGGGTGGGGTTGGAAACGGTCGACCCTAAAAATGCACACCTCGCCTTATCCCACGGATTTCTATCTCCAGTGGTAAGGTTCGAAGAAGTATGGAACTAACACGGAGATTACTCACAAAGAGGTCGTGTGTGACCGACCTCAAGCAGTTGTCCCTTGGGCACTGCGGTCACGCTCTCAGGTCACTATGACCACCTCTGATCCAATTTCCTTTTCAGGTACATCCAGAACAACTGAGAATCGATCACAATGGCGTCGGTGTATACACTCTCTGTCTTCCCTTAAACTAAGAGATTAAAATCGCTTCGTATCTTTCTTTCTACGAACTAATCCTTTCTTCCTGTACTTTATCCTTATTGCAATCTTTCTTTTATATATTACCACAACTGAATTAACTACTTTTATGAATCCGTTGTTCATCTTGTTGTGTTAATGAGGTATGGCAACTGGGACCGATGCATAAATGTGCCTGGTCCTACGTTGTTGCTGACTGACTGACTTCATACAATTGTGTGGCAGTCCATTGAACAAAAGTCTATATTTTAATCATAAGGCTTTTTGTTCGTGCCATAAATGATTAAGAGCACCAGTTCGTTTGGTTTTCTGAATCTTTGGCACTAAAAAACCAACTAAACCGTTCTTTTAAAATTTAAGCCCATAAATTCAGTGGATTCATGCTATCTTCAAACGCCACCTCATAATGAATAATATTCTGTCAGTTTCCATGTGTTTGTCTAGGTTCCTCTAAAATACGTTTGAATAGCCTAAACGGTTTTTCTGGCAGATAATCTCCGTTCCAATACCGTCCACATTTTCGTTAAAAACAGCAATCTTCACAACCTTATGCTGATTATTACATGTGATCGCTAGTGATAAGCCTCGAGATGTGATTTTCGGAGTTATAATTAGAAGCCGTGACTATTGGAGTTAAACCGTGTTGGGTGTGAAGCAGTTACCCACCGAAGACAATGGGAGATTGTCGTGCAACATCGTGAATCTGTTGATGTTAAACATTAACATAGTTGAATGCCGGCTCAATGGTCTAAAGGTGAAGTGTTCACGCGTGGGATCGTAGGTGTGCGCTGCTGAGTCTCACATTAGGGGAGAAGTAGTTGTCCAGTGCTCCCAGTTTTTCAATGGTCGTTTAACAATAAACGGTTCGTGATCTCAATTAAAATAGCTGGTCTTTACAATCGCTTTTGAAAAAGCAGATAACTTAAAATGGTCTAACAATAAACATTATACAAATGAATAGGGAGTCTTTGTTCAGTAACTCAAGTTCGGGTCGTCAAAACCGTATCTCACCTACCATGGTTTGTATAACCAGTTAGCCTCAGTAGTTGTCACTAAGACATAGTTTATGGTAACGTATCGAAATCTACATATGGTTGTCAAAATTCCAAGTTTTTAGTAGAATACGTAAACGAAAATGTAATGACCGCAAATATTTTCTCATGAACTCCACATTGCACTATCCATTACGATGATCGGCGAATCTCCAGTATTTGGAGCACTTTTACAACATTACAAATGTACGTAAATAAATAATTAGACAACTTGCGTATTCATACACTAAGCTACTATCTCGCAACTGGAACTTCATTATGGTGTATGAGACTACAGCTTTGGAAGCCTTTTTGATAGTGACCGTAAAAATGAAAATGCACTTGAGTTAATCAGTTATACATCTGTTACAATGACTGTAATTTATAAATTCTCGTTAAACACAAATCACAGTATAAGTGTGTTAAAAGTTCACTAAGTAATGTAACGAATATATGTTAAAGGTCGACCTTGAATTCACCTTAAGTCAATATCGATTGTATTGCTCATAAGTTGTATTTGAGTTCTTCACATCCTCAGCAATAGGCCATTTTAATCAGACTAAATGGATCAGTATTTTATTGATAGTGTGTTGTTTTGGCTATTGTCGTTTAACTGTTGTAGAGCATGCTTTTGGACATTTGTTACAGAAAAAGCCTTAGGCTGCCTTTTAGGGTTAGAAATGTGAGTACTAACGTAGGTTTTGCTTTAAGAATGCTCTAGACATCTGGTTCCTAAATAGTTTTAGTAAGTTGATCCAATTACATAAAAAGCAAAGCAAACAGGATAAAACATCAGAGAATACGTTGAGCGATTGGGATTAACGAGGCCTGGAGCAGTAAATAACATATCTATATAATCCGGTTGCTAAAGTCAATATTTTGTTACACTGTTTGCTCGTTTTTATTTAACAACATGAAGTGGCTGTTCCATTTAATCAGCCTAAAATCTACTGTCTAGATGATTGTTTCTTAGTAGACTGACACACTTGGCTACAGGCCAAGTCTTACCATCTGTGAAATAGTCTTTGTATTCTACCTACATGAATTCCCAGACAAACGGTTTTGTTAGGTTGTACAGGAAATGATTGATGAAGTACAAAGTGAACAACATGGCTTCAATGATGTATCGTACTAAGAACAAACTCATTAACTCTTCTTTGAGCTTTACTTTTAGGATATAGAGTTGGTTATATTAATTAAAGTAGGTGGATAAGCGCTCAAGTTTCCAACTAAGTAGGTCAAAGTTGAATATTTTAACTAACAAATCAGCAAAGAAATACTAATCGACAGATGTATATTATTTCTCATGAACAGACATTTGATCATAGCCGACAAATGTTAGCCGTGGCTTTTGTACGTTCAGTCATAAGGTCTGTTACTTTTTTTTCTTAAAACTCATTATGAAACGTCTAATCAATTTAACCTATACTTGCTTAAGAAACACTAATTGTCAGAACGCATTGATAAATAGAACTAAATTTGTCATATGTTTTGTTCAAGATGATGCTTCAGATGCCTTTTTACTGAAAAATAATTTTCGTCTTAAGCTGACATCAGTTGCAGAGTCATTCTAGTCTTGAGACAACTATATCGTTCTAGTTGTGAACCCCTCAAAAATCTAAACCTACGACCCCATACGAGTGGGGTTCTTTTAAAGTTAAACTCAGTAGTGAACATTGTATCACTATGTAGAAATTCAATCCATTTATTTTCAACTTCAATTAATTTGTTATGTGGTATGATCCCATTATTGTCGAGTTTCTACGCTACTATAAGTATCTATGTCTCCCGGATGTCTATAGGCATATTAACCCATTGTGTGTGAAATCTTTCGTCATTCAGTCTTGATAAGTTGCATCACAGTTACATGGAGCAAATCCTAACCTATTTTTACAGTTTCATGAAGTAGAGTAGATAATAAGCATTATCTGAAGCTATTTCATCTGCTGTGTTAGAGTAAAACATTAAAATAAAAATATTCACATAATTATTTTTTCCTTTGTTACAATATAATAATTCTAATTTTAGGAACCTGTTTCGACCGCGAATAGTTCTCCCAAAAATATGGACAAACTAAAATTACCATTTAGAAACTATGAAACCTCTTCGTCTTCAGAGATTTCGTCTGACAGTGAGCCAGAATTAATTGAAAGATCTGTGATCCAGAAAGTATGTTTTTATTTCCATCTAGTAGTGCGACATTTTAGCCCAGGGATCCAGCCTTTTTAATTCCACCCGACTATACCTTACAGTCAGTGGAAGATTTGGTAATTTTATATACTACCGTAATTTGTATTTGTTAAATCTCTTAGGCTGCAGATATAAAAGTTTCGTTACTCGGAAAAATATCTCAAGTTTTTGATAAATACGGTAAACTTTTGTTGCTTGCATCAGTCTTAAAATTCATATGTTTAAATGATAATGTGATACCAAACATTGTGTTCAGTAATTGCAAACAGATTTTTTCAATATGAACTGCGCAAATGACATGCTACTAATTTGATTTCGGATGTGTAAATATATGATTATGGTCTACTGAGTTCATATGATACTGTCTCGTCGAAAGTTTTATGGATCGTTTCCGTGCGTACAATAGTGTTAATTGTGTCACAAAAGTGTGTGGAATACATGAACAATTTTAAGAGTAATCAATTTTTCCCCAATTTATCTCAAAGATTTATTTTACTGTTACATTGTACCTAATTCACTTTACTTTTCAGTTGTCATCCGTTCGATTAATTCGGCAGTTGTACTGAATGAGCGATCTGTGCTTTTTCTAGAAGACGGCAAGCATCTGGGTGAGGTGAGTGTCCTTTTATTCCGAATCATTCGACGTTATCAGTAGGCAGGCTATTGTCTGTAGTTGTGTTAAAGAATTAGTGAATCAACGTTAATTTCCCATCAAACATTATTTTCAATTATTATGTATTGATTTTGGTAACAGCTGTATTAGACTTCGTATAGCCCTACTCATTGATCTTTCATGAACATTCGACGGCTAAAGTAATGATTAAAACATTTTGAGTACATACGACATTTAACCATGCCATGAAATATTAGGTTATTAAAGGACCTATAACCAGTAAAATAAAGCTGGATATTCTTTGACTATATATGGTTTAGAGATTAACTGGTTATTCACGACTGCTACTGAGTGACGGAACATGATTACTTGTTCTTTGGTGATGCTAAATTTACATCTGTCCTGTGTTTACTACTTATTGATGTACAATAAATATTTTTATGGAGACCGCTTCAGAAATAAATGTGCACAATTCATGAGTCTAACTAAATAGTTTTGAATCCAACCAATGCGGATAAACTTGACCTAGTATACAATAGTATTATATAGAACAAAGTTCAGAATCTGAAATTTTTCAATCATCGCTCGTTGGAATTCCGGAATTTATTCCTTTTATGCGAATATCATATGTATTGTATTATTCTTGACTTATTATTATGAGTATGATTCAACTCAGCATTTTATTTATCAATTGTATTATCATAACAGATTAATTTGTCAAGATTTGGTGACACAGACTACATGGAAATTCATAAATTGATTGTTACGCGCATGGATTGAATAATATATAGAATCCTTATTTGGCTTTTCATTTAGGATTCATCCCACATTTTTATGACGTATCGGTAGGGATGCAGACTATTATGTCTGTATTATTCAACTAGGTGAACATAAGTGACTTCATTTCGAGAAATTTCAACACAGTACAACTCATTTACAGATTAAATCTAATAAAAGTAAACTAAATATTCACGCAAATTAGCATTAAGCCATATAGTTAATGGTATAATCAAATTATCTAAACCAAATAAATAGGTTCTAAATTGATGATACAGAATAGTAATAGGTGTTTGAGCGAACTTTTTTTATTGATATCTATCAAAGGTTTATGAAACATTTGGCCCAGTACGTACTCCATTTTATCTGGTGATCCTTTCCAAATCATTTTGTGTACCCGAGTTAAGAAATGATCGGATCTCAGGATCACGCAATTATACAATTTCAAAATCAACGAACTATTCTGAAAATTTGGAACCTCAAACACCAATTGAATCAGTTACTAATACTCAACTTGATAATGACAATTCACTTAATGATAGCAGCAGTCAGAATCCTTTTGAAATTGAAATACCAATTACTGGCAACAGTGATGCTATCAATTATGAAGAAAAGAGAAAGGTTAATCATTCATTGAAAGAAATATCCGTGTTCTATGCACCCGATATACCTGAACTCACTATTCCTGTCTTTTACAACCAATTAATTGCTAGTAACACCAAAGGATCAGATGCATCTTGGGTAGGTGATACGGAACCACCTCCTGAGGTAAGTTCATAAACTCAGCATCTCTTGTTAATATGAGTTCGATAGACCATATTAAGTAATTTTTTCTTCATCCATAATCCGGAGCAAGAAAAGTAGTTGCCATAGACATAGAGTTCATCGTTTGTGTGTGGGCTGTGATATTGCCCGGGTGCCCAAACCGAAGCAGGTGGTTATCATAGGGGGCCACACCCCGAGCCTTTGACCTAAAGGTCTAACCCACAAGGCAGTGGAGCATCGTAAGGAGATGCAATCCCATGGTAGCCGGTGACCAAAGATTGGTTCATACGCCATTTGTTCCCGCAGGATACTGGAGCCCATGTGCACCATGTTCTCCGAATGTCGTCCCAGAGAATTCCACGTCGTGCATTATTTGCCGACTCTGGAACTGGTTGGAAGAAGCGGAGAGGTGGTCAGCGCATGACATGGTGTCGTGGTATGAAAGAAAGCTGCAAAGGACTGGCTTCTGTTGGTCCTTCACGACTCCCTGGTTGGGGTCTGAGAGATGGTGCTACACAGTGGCTAGAGACGTTATCAGATATGGCTCAGAATAGAAGCCAGTGGCGATCCTGCTGTAACCTTCTTTTACTTCATAAAAAGTGGTTCTGTCTCCCTAACCTGAAAGATTTCTTCCGATTGTACCTTTGCGTTCCCTGATTACTAGCACATTACCTCACACCAATCTCTTCGTTATTGTTCTCTTTTTTGCGCTCCTTAGCTTTTTTTTCTTTCTTTGTATTCCTCTCGAATTTTCATTGTTATGTGTGGCGCATATATATTGGCGCTCTCTTGTACCAATATTCATGTGTCCAAATATTTATTTATTTGAACACATAAATATTGGTACAAGAGAGCGCCAATATATATGCGCCACACAAAAGAAAGAAACAACGTCGTCAATTCCTTAGTCAAAAAGTCACCACCATCTTTAAAAAGAGCCGGAGGTAAGTCATCTGGGCCAGGTGATTTGTATCGCTTCAAGAGTTGGAGTTCCTTGCGGACTTCCTCCTCGTTTGGTGGATCAGTCGTCACCGGCCATGGAGGGCAGGACAGTCTGACTGATGTTGCCGGAGCAGCAGGCCAGTTGAACTGCCCTTCGAAAAATTCTGCCCACCGTCCAAGACGTCGATGGATGTTAGTGATTGGCATCCCATCATCCTCGCAGATTGTTTCACTCACACCAGACTTCTTGCTGCCAGTGGCTCGGATGAGCTGGAAGAGCTTCCGGTAATTACCAGATGCAGCTGCTGCTTCCAGCTCATTAGCACGCATCGACCACCAGGCTTCTCGGTCCTTACGCAAGCTTTGCCCAATTTCCTTACGTAACATCCTTCGTTTATGGTCAAACTCACGGTCACCCGGAGTAGACCGACGAGCTTCAATGAGTTGTAAGGAACCGGAAGAAACCCAGTGCTTAAAAGCGGGACGTTTCGCAAACTCACAACTGACTGTTCCCGCCATTTTCATGGCGTCACGCAATTGCAACCAATGCTCATCTATACTTTTCGGTGGAGTGGTAGCTACCCTAGAGGCTAGCTCGGTTCGATACTTATTTGCAACAGAAGTTGCAACCAGCTTGCTAACATCAACCCGTTGATGGCGTTCACTTCGTTGTCCACTGAAAAGTAAGGCAAGATTGGCGCAGACCAAGGCATGGTCAGAGTCCAGATAGGTACTCCAAAAGGAGCGGCAGTCTTGTACACAACCACTCCAGCGGTAGCTGATCGCGATGTGATCAATCTGAGTCCAGGCTTGGGATGCAGAGGGAGGACGCCAGGTGGCACATCGGCGATGACTGTGCCGAAAGTTAGTGCTAGCCAGAAACAGGTTGTGGTCTGTGCATAGTTGCAGTAGACGGTCCCCGTTATCTGACCTGCGACCAACGAGTCCCCATCGGCCACCTAAACGACTCTCTTCTGTGCCTAGACGCCCGACCTGAGCATTCAAGTCTCCGGCTAGTACTACAATATCTGTCGAACGCACTTTCTGGAGAAGAACAGATAATTGGTGGTAAAACTCATCCTTGATTGCATCCGGGCTGCAATCTGTCGGGGCATAGGCGGAGATGACGAAAAGACATCGTTTCTCACGCCGATTTCTTCTCACTTTGATGGAACTTTCTAATCTAACAGCACATAACCGACTGTTAATGGGGATCCAATCGACTAGTGCTGCCTCAGCTCTAGCGCTTAGTGCGACACCAACGCCAGCAAGACCAGACGAAGATGCCACAGGGTCCCCGGATAAGCGCACGTAAAACAAGCTTTTCGAAGCGACAGATGGAGATCGAATTTGTAGTACTTCGCCAGAGTCTTGAATACGGATCTCGGATAGACAGCAAACATCGATATTAAGACTTTCCAAAGACATAGCCAGCCCTATCTGTTGTCCGACCTGCATAAGTGTGCGAACGTTGAAGGCAGCCAGTTTGAATGGTGCACGTGGTTTCAGAAAATCAGCTTCAGTCCTCGTATTCGGTGGTAACATACAATTTTCAACCGGACAGTGACTCGAGAACGTTTAGATACAGTCGGATTTCCACCAAAGACGAGCCGCTGTACAGGTATAAAAGAGGGTGAATAATGTGGAAAATAATAATAATAATGATAATAATAACAATAATGACAATAATAGTAGTAATAATAATATTAGTATTAATAATGACAATAATTGTAATGATAATAATCTGAATCAATTTTTTTGTTTTTCAAAGCGAGAAAGGTAATTTCCATAGGCATAAAGAGTTCATCATTTTGTGTGTGGGCTGTGATACTGCCCGGGTGCCCAAACCGAAGCAGGTGGTTATCTTAGGGGGCCACTCCCCGAGCCTTTGACCTAAAGGTCTAACCCACAAGGCAGTGTAGCATCGTAAGGAGATGCAGTCCCATGGTAGCCGGTGACCAACGATTGGTTCATACGCCATTCGTTCCCGCAGGATACTGGAGCCCATGTGCACCATTGATTTGGAATCCGGTTAAAGCGCCGGACATTCGCTTTTCGTCCTCTCATTTTCGTAGACAACACCCCCGCCACGAGAAGGCAATGAGTAGGACTTCCCTGGCAGAGGCTGTATACGCGTGGCCGTGTGAGAGTATTTCGAGAGGGAGAGCGGACTCTCCCCACTCTCGGCCATACCAGGGCATTCAGGGGGGCCCAGTAGTAAAAAAAGAACTTTGACACCACCTCAAACATTTAAATGCAGTTATCCACACCCTTTCGTTATGCAACAAAATAATAGCTCTAATTTAATTAGAGTACGGTATGGTATGTCTAAACAATGATTGAAGCTGAAATAAATTATGGTTCTTTTCACAGTTTAAAAACATATTGTTAAATAAGATGAGCAGATGTGGTCATTTTCATAGCCACTTGAAAATTAGTTCACTCTCGCGAAATTGCAGTATACTGTGTAGGTAATATACTACTGTTTTATAAACTGCAAACATTCTACATGATAGATATGTTTGGAAACTTTTTATACACCAAAATTATAAAACACTTGTATACGAACAATAGAAATCGATTACTAAAGATTTTGAGACTATTCGAAATTCGACAGTACTACGTTTCACTGTGATAAATTTTCTGTCTGATTACTGTCAATAAATTGGTTTTGACTTAGGCACTGGAATTTTCAGACGATGAACGAGAGAAACTGTACAAACGCGCGTTAAAGATGAAACGAAAATCACAGACACCAGGTGAGTTATTTATACGTTTCTTACAAATGCAAAAGCCTAATTTCGTTTACCGTCTAGTTAATACTTTATTTGGAAGAGGAAAATTAATGTATGATAGAGTAGTTAAGTAAAATGAAAATTAAGATTATAATCATATCTTGTGGTTAAGTCGATATTTATCTACTCAATAAAAATCTTATTCCGATGACAAGCTATCTCTGCTCTTTGATAATCTAATCTCTACGTCAGCACATAGTTATCGTTGGGAAAGTAGCTAAGACGTTGTGTTAGACTTGTTGAAGCAACTAAACTTATTGTTTTAAAATACTTGCAAAATAATGAATCTGAGAATCATAGAATTTGAATAGTATGGAGGGAGTAACTAGAAACGTAATCCGGTTGTCACCGACTAAAAATGTCGAAACATGTTGTAGAGAAACATTGGTATGATCAAATTACGTTTCCCTATATTAACAGCCTATGAATGACTGGAAAAATGTCACTTAGAAATGCGCTCTTTTATTCGTGAAAGTTTTATGCACTGTCAGTATCAGTAAGTGGATATCACTTTTAACATATATTTAACAATTATAAGACTTTAAACCACATTTGCTTTGATTCCAAACAGAACCAACAAACTCAACCCAAATGTTAAGCCGTCCAAAGGAACATGATAAGTGGCATAGTAAACCATCATTTGCTGTAAAGAAACATCCAACTGCATTTGCGTCGAGCGTTCAACCCGTAGATCGTGCCTGTGGATATTCACTTCAACAACAATCCTGTAGCCTAAGACCTTGCTTGCCCATCCAACCACCAAATCACTGGAATATGTATCCTAGCGTTCAACCTCAATGGCAAAATCCGACTTATGGTCACAGTACCTGGCCTTCCGTACCTTCATACCATCCGACAGTACAGAATCCTTACCCATATGTACCGCGAAACCCAGTGCCGCCACATCCATTTTCATATCATTGTACGTTTGTCGTTAAAGCATTCAATTCCTATAATATATTATATTTTCCTCTACAAGGTTAATCTGCTTAAAAATCATATGCCATCAAATTGTTTGCATAATTATTAAGTATTGGGAAAGTGCTTTTTCAACATCAGCTATGGTTTCTATGTAATTTAGCAACAAAAGTATCCAGAACCCATTTCTGGATTCATATCTACAAAAGACGTCAAAAGCATTCAAATGAAATCAGATACTAGCAGTTTAGGACAACAGGCTTGATTCTGTTAGCATTTGGCGTAGGCTTTTTGGCTTGTCTTTCAACCAATCGCTTGAATGCAGTTAGCGATCTATGGAACTATAACTTTTTCGGTACTGCACGAAGGTCAGTCAAGGCAGTTTCAGTATTTTTCTAAATATACTTTTCTTTTACTAGAAACTTTCCCCAATTTTTTTCTTTCTGTTCGATTCGAAATAGATGCTCTCCCTGAAGAACCTTATCAACAGAATTCGTGGTCACCGTATGCTCCATCGTGATTAGAAAATTATTCAACGTTTCATAAACCATTTATGCACAAAATATAAATATATAAGTATATAGCGATTAAGTGATCTTTTTTATTATCATATACCAAATATTATTTTACTACCATCTTATAGTTTTTAAGCTTGACTGTACACAAGCGTAGTTTATACAATAGTAGCACCTGAAATCTACCTTAGTACTCAGGTGTATACATGTTGGGGACGTTAGATCCCCAGAACTCACTTGGGAAAGGACCTAATTTTGTAACTTTATTTGGAAAATTTGAATTTCTTTGTTTCCGCGCCAAAGACGCTTTTGTCACCATGTTGTATTTCCTACTGGGAAATATCTTGAATGCTATCGGTCCGTTGCGTCTTTTAGTATGCTATTTGGTAACTCTCCCCAAGGGCGGTTTTGTACTGTATATATACGTTTTGAATTATGTTTGTTGTTATCGCTCGCTTCTGGCTGTTTGCAGAATATACTTCCCCATTCCAAGCTTGGACTTCTCCTTCTAGTTAGCGGGCTGGGACCCATCAACAGCTAGCTTACTGGTCATCAACACCTGTTTTTCGTTCGCAGATTAAGTGAACTCGTGATAGAAATACATTTCTAAAAGTATCGTTTGAAAATTTGACTAGTTTTGATGTTAACTAAATCTTAAGATTATTAATAAATTACCAAAAGTCTGTGTCTAGGCGAAGCTGGCGAAAAATTAGTCGTTGCGAACTGAATGCATCATATGACTATTCTCAATGGTTATGGGCAAAAAGCATATTCTGAATGTGGACACCCCGATGAAGTGTAATTCAACTTTGAAAAAGAAAATTAACCATTGAACCAAGTAGCCCTATTTTTTCTAGCTCCAATTTAGTGTACACAAAGTGGAATGAGTGTTTTATAACTGAAATCTAAAAACAAGTGCAATAAAGTTCATGCTAAAGATTATATATCGATATTTAGGTATATTACAGAATGGTTTATTTGAAAATGTCAGACACGGAATGTACGTACAACACGGACAATGCTTTGTCTACATAGTGGGCATTCAGTCAGCTTTCTTCCGCAATCAACACAAGAAAATAAATGACCGCATTCTAAAAAGACACAATTAACTGGAGCTTCCATACAAACCCCGCATTCATCATTCAAATCAACTGGACATTTCTCACTCGATGTTCCAGCATTCTGACAATCTTCAAACTCTACTGCTTCTTGAGCTTCAAATATGACTAGAAAGAAAACATAGAACAACGAATTGATCAGTGTGTTTTTATGGACATTATTACGGATTCTTATAGAGTTGTGATCTGTTTTTCATACAAATAAACAAAAATCGATATTAACACTATTTCTATATGTAGATGGATGTAGATAACAGCAAGTTAACGTGTCGAACTGAGATAGAAGACATTTTAGTCAAATTGTCTGTTTTCTCGAAATCTCTGAAAACGCACTTTTGTCCTAATCAGAACTATCACTAACGAAGTGCATTGCTGTAAGCATTCCTTCAGAGACGACTATGGTTCTCTGAACATCTTCAGCTCAGAGACCTTGAATTATCTCTCCTTACTTTGCCTGATGTGTTATACATAGCCTCCAAAATACTGGTGTTTTTCAGACGCTCGTGCTTAGTAGACAATCTTAGAGCAAAATCCGGTCTAACGAGCAGAAAGTGTTTCTGATGTTAATTCATGGTTGTTGCTCTGTTAAGTTTTTCACGAGACGAAGTTTTTTTTTACATCCACAAAAGCATTGTTTGAAGCTCATGTAACCGAGCACGTTAATCTGATCAAGGGTTTGGGATTTGATATGATTACCCTTCAAGGAGGTTTACGAGTAGAATTTGAAATTTAGTACGATATTTAAATACGTATATTGATTAGCTTTATGAGATTTCCATGAATCATCACTAAGGTCATAAATTATTTTTCCAACACTGGGACTCACGTGGTTGTTGCTGTTTGTAATTGCGCCATAACTGTTTCGCTCTGGCAATAAGTTCAGCTTTTTCCACACAATGAGTGAAGTCAACAAAATTGTAGACTAAAAGATCTTTGATCTGACGAACAGAAAGATTTTCAATGGATTCTTCTGACATCAAGTCTTCAAGTTTAACGTTACGTTTTGTTGAGTCTGGAAACTAAGCATAAATTATATTTTCATCGATTGACAAGGTCTAGTAAAATTGAAAATTATAGATTGCCGGGCTATAAAAGTATATGCACACCGTTTAGACTTTCAATGGATATGAAAAGATAAATAATATCCCAATTAAGACAGACGTTTCAGGACAAGCCTATAACCGAGTTAGTAAGCTACACATATACTGACGTCCTGAAAGTGATAGTTCTAGGATATGAGAACAGCAATAACGTGAGACAAGCCAACTTCACAGAATGTCCTAGACGAGTTCTTCCAACTGGTCTTATCCATCATTCTACTAGTATCCTCAATGCTGTTCAGATTCTGTCACTAGTCTCTATTCCTGCAATTTCCTTGAAAGAGTAAGTGACAGTTTGTGTTTTTTCTGCCCGACAAAGGAGGAGTGGCCGTGGTTAAATTACAGCACCATTAACCAATAGACCGTAGGTTTGAACGCGCAGAAACTTGGTAGTACTGTTAGCCCTTAAAGTCATACTAGGTAAATAAGTTACATGCTTGTTATGCCTCGATAAGAGTATAGTGACCTGTAGAATTTCAGATTTAAATAATAATAATCATATCCGCAGGCATATTCAGCCGACAAAATTCTAGCCAGTAGGTTATTGTCGAACTCTACTAGTGCTCGTCTTTGATTACACTTTTCTATAAAATTAAATACGAGTTCTTATGATGACACGTTTGGTGAATGAGAAGCAGATACGTTTTCTTGAATAACGTTGGTACAGTAAGCTGCGATCACGGAAGAAAGAATGGTATTAGTCAGTAGTTAAGGTGTCAAACGAAATAATTTACAGTTTGAGAACTTCAAAATGAATGGATAAATAGGCAGTAATAGGTATCACATGCTTTTGGTACTGATACGTTTGATAGTTAGTGCTTTGAACGTAAGAGGACAAAACTCATATCTTTAAATGAAATTTACGGAAGATGGTTTTCCTTAGGTCATAAGTCATTTATTCTCTTATATCCCAACGTTAAACACTGGTTTAGAATGTTGATAGTTTTACTGATTTCCCTCAATACCATTTAACTTGCATCGGGATAAAAAGGTTAAATCGTGTTAAGTATTAAAAAATTGATATATTGTAAAATCGGACATTATTTTTGTGAAGTAATTTAGGAAAACTTGAGTAAAAAAGTAAAGTGACAACTGAGTCTGTGGTTTATTAATTTTAAACTAGTGAATGCACTGGCAATCTACATTTCTCTGAGTAAACAACAATAATGAAGTTTATTTTAGCAATCCAACCTCTAAAACTTTGTTCTGTTGAGAAGCACTATATTTTAGTACATAATGTTAAGGTACGGTTATCCCTTATTTATATAATACATAGGATTTGAAGTAAGGATCTAACTTTACCAAAGGACAGAATCTATTAAGACAAACAAAATTTCTCGACAAAACAGACTCAAGCCCAAAAAGTCTCTCTAGATTCTGACATTTTCGAATATTCGAGAGTTATCAAGCAGACCACGCTAATAAGTATATAATGAAATAGGTTTTTAGCTTTTTGAAATCTTTAAATGATATTCGGAAGAGATTCAATGTTTCTATTGCACAGCCAATACTATTTGTGTAGAAATGAAAGTAAAAAATACGCTTGATCTGTACACTAACCAAATGGTCATCAGCATTTGTACTTCGGGTGGTAATGCCTAGACTGCTCAGCACTGCATCCACAAATTGTTCTTTCTCAATCAGACCAACGAACGGTATATTACGACGTCGCATAAACCATTTTAAATCACGGATATTAAGACCCATTACTGAATCCCAGTTGGCTTGATTTGACTGTAAAACTCTGCACCGGTTGCATAAAATTGTACGATCTGGAAAAATGCAACAAATACATTTCTAAAACATGTTATGGTAAGATCAACACGTCGGTTAAATTCTTTCATGCCACGTGTTAGGAGTGCGATATATATTGGTATGATTCTGGTGTTTGTCACAAATATAAGACCAGATTCTTTACCTTCAACACGTTTTTCTGATTTTCGTTTTTTCTACGGAATAAAGCTCCATAATTAATACAGAACCAAAATGCTTTTCTAAATATTTTTTGGATTCCAAGTATTATTTTAGTACTCTTCCTCACGGTTGAATTCAACTCAATCACAGTCAGACTTGCAAAATCATGAATACCAAACTTCTCCTTAAGAACTAAAGACTAATGTTTTTCATTAGGATGGTTTATGTGTGGGTAGAAGTGAGTAATTAAGTGAAATTGTTGTGACACTGGCAGGAAAAAGAAGAGCAGATGCGATTTTTAAACTTGCATGTAATTATGCTGATAACTTCCAGCTTTTATTCAGAAACAACATAAGTAGTTATTTACATTTATTCATGGGGACTGGGATTTTACCAACCACTACTTTACTTAATTGTTGTGACCACCATAAGCAGAGATTGATGGCAGCTAGCAGTGGAGTCCAGGACTCAGGTTTCGCCCTATTTGTGGCTCGTGAGCTGGATGCACCTACATCTCAAAGTAGATGTACACTCTGGGACTCAAACTTAGGCAATCCGCACAGGCAGTATCACAGCCCACACACAAACGTTGAACTCTATGTCTTTGGCAACTACTTTTATCGCTCCGAAAAACAAAAACAATCAATCGATTCAAATAATTATCATTACTATTATTGTCATTATTAATACTATTATTATTACTATTATTGTCGTTATTATTATTATTATTATTACTACTACTACTACTACTACTACTACTACTATTATTATTATTATTATTATTATTATTATTATTATTATTATTATTATTATTATTTCCCACATTATTCACCCACTTTCATACTTATACAGCGGCTCGGCTTTGGTGGAAATCCGACTGTATCTAAACGTTCTCGAGTCACTGTCCGGTTGAAAGTTGTATGTTACCATCGAATATGAGTACTGAAGCAGTTTTTCTGAAACCACGTGCGCCATTCAAACTGGCTGCCTTCAACGTTCGCACACTTATGCAGGTTGGTCAACAGATAGGGCTGGCTATGTCTTTGGAAAGTCTTAATATCGACGTGTGTTGTCCATCCGAGACCCGTATTCAAGACTCTGGCGAAGTACTACAAATTCGATCTCCATCTGTCGCTTCGAAAAGCTTGTTTTACGTGCGCTTATCCGGGGACCCTGTGGCATCTTCGTCTGGTCTTGCAGGCGTTGGTGTCGCACTAAGCGCTAGAGCTGAGGCAGCACTAGTCGATTGGATCCCCATTAACAGTCGGTTATGTGCTGTTAGATTAGAAAGTTCCATCAAAGTGAGAAGAAATCGGCGTGAGAAACGATGTCTTTTCGTCATCTCCGCCTATGCCCCGACAGATTGCAGCCCGGATGCAATCAAGGATGAGTTTTACCACCAATTATCTGTTCTTCTCCAGAAAGTGCGTTCGACAGATATTGTAGTACTAGCCGGAGACTTGAATGCTCAGGTCGGGCGTCTAGGCACAGAAGAGAGTCGTTTAGGTGGCCGATGGGGACTCGTTGGTCGCAGGTCAGATAACGGGGACCGTCTACTGCAACTATGCACAGACCACAACCTGTTTCTGGCTAGCACTAACTTTCGGCACAGTCATCGCTGATGTGCCACCTGGCGTCCTCCCTCTGCATCCCAAGCCTGGACTCAGATTGATCACATCGCGATCAGCTACCGCTGGCGTGGTTGTGTACAAGACTGCCGCTCCTTTTGGAGTACCTATCTGGACTCTGACCATGCCTTGGTCTGCGCCAATCTTGCCTTACTTTTCAGTGGACAACGAAGTGAACGCCATCAACGGGTTGATGTTAGCAAGCTGGTTGCAACTTCTGTTGCAAATAAGTATCGAACCGAGCTAGCCTCTAGGGTAGCTACCACTCCACCGAAAAGTATAGATGAGCATTGGTTGCAATTGCGTGACGCCATGAAAATGGCGGGAACAGTCAGTTGTGAGTTTGCGAAACGTCCCGCTTTTAAGCACTGGGTTTCTTCCGGTTCCTTACAACTCATTGAAGCTCGTCGGTCTACTCCGGGTGACCGTGAGTTTGACCATAAACGAAGGATGTTACGTAAGGAAATTGGGCAAAGCTTGCGTAAGGACCGAGAAGCCTGGTGGTCGATGCGTGCTAATGAGCTGGAAGCAGCAGCTGCATCTGGTAATTACCGGAAGCTCTTCCAGCTCATCCGAGCCACTGGCAGCAAGAAGTCTGGTGTGAGTGAAACAATCTGCGAGGATGATGGGATGCCAATCACTAACATCCATCGACGTCTTGGACGGTGGGCAGAATTTTTCGAAGGGCAGTTCAACTGGCCTGCTGCTCCGGCAACATCAGTCAGACTGTCCTGCCCTCCATGGCCGGTGACGACTGATCCACCAAACGAGGAGGAAGTCCGCAAGGAACTCCAACTCTTGAAGCGATACAAATCACCTGGCCCAGATGACTTACCTCCGGCTCTTTTTAAAGATGGTGGTGACTTTTTGACTAAGGAATTGACGACGTTGTTCACAAAGGTTTGGGAACTAGAGAGTGTGCCAACGTCATGGAATGAGTCGATAGTTGTCCCTATCTTTAAAAAGGGTTCACGTCGTTCCTATAACAACTATCGGGGGATAAGTCTACTTCCGATTGCGTCCAAGCTATTGGCTTCCGTCATACTTCGTAGGTTGTTCAAAACCCGAGAAAGATTGACTCGCGAGGAGCAGGCTGGTTTTCGTTCTGGTCGAGGATGTATTGATCATATCTTCACCCTCCGCCAAATGTTAGAACACCGCCATACTTATCAAAGGCCAACAATCGTAGTGTTTCTTGACATCAGGGCTGCCTTCGATTCGTTAGACAGAACTGTTCTCTGGGATTGTCTATTGAAGAAGGGTGTGCCTGAGAAGTTTATTAACATCCTAAAAGCCCTATATAAAAACACCTCAGGCAGAGTGAGGGCATACAACCACCTCTCTCCGTTGTTCCATTCGAGCAGTGGACTCAGGCAGGGTTGCCCAATCTCACCATTCCTCTTCAACTTTGCCATCGATGACATTCTGGAAACAGCTCTGATGAATGTAAGTAATGGTGGTGTGGATCTGTTGCCTGGAGAAAGACTTCTTGACCTTGAGTATGCGGACTATATTGTCTTACTGTGCGATAATGCCCAAGGCATGTAATCCGCACTTAATCAGTTGGCAATCAGTGTCCGTAGGTATGGTATGTGCTTTGCACCTTCGAAGTGCAAAGTACTTCTACAAGACTGGCAGGATTCCAATCCTGTACTCACCCTGGATGGTGAGCAGATAGACGTAGTCGAGAAGTTTGTGTATCTGGGTAGCTGTATAACTGCTGGTGGGGGTGTGAGTGATGAGATCAATGCACGAATAGTGAAAGCCAGAGCGGCTTATGCCAATCTGGGCCATCTATGGCGCCTTCGTGATGTTAGTCTGGCCGTAAAAGGTCGGATCTACAACGCGTCGGTGAGAGCAGTTTTGCTCTATGCTTGTGAAACCTGGCCTCTCCGAGTTGAGGACGTTAGACGACTCTCTGTGTTCGATCATCGCTGTCTCCGAAGGATTGCTGACATTCAGTGGCAACACCATGTCAGTAATGCAGAGGTTCGGCATCGTGTGTTCGGGCACAGAGATGATAATTCAATTGGTGTTACCATCTTGAAACACCGACTTCGGTGGCTTGGACATGTTCTCCGAATGTCGTCCCAGAGAATTCCACGTCGTGCATTATTTGCCGACTCTGGGACTGGTTGGAAGAAGCGGAGAGGTGGTCAGTGCATGACATGGTGTCGTGGCATGAAAGAAAGCTGCAAAGGACTGGCTTCTGTTGGTCCTTCACGACTCCCTGGTTGGGGTCTGAGAGATGGTGCTACACAGTGGCTAGAGACGTTATCAGATATGGCTCAGAATAGAAGCCAGTGGCGATCCTGCTGTAACCTTCTTTTACTTTCTTCATAAAAAGTGGTTCTGTCTCCCTTACCTGAAAGATTTCTTCCGATTGTACCTTTGCGTTCCCTGATTACTAGCACATTACCTTACACCAATCTCTTCGTTATTGTTCTCTCTTTTTTTTGTTGCGCTCCTTAGCTTTTTTTTTCTTTCTTTGTATTCCTCTCGAATTTTCATTGTTTTGTGTGGCGCATATATATTGGCGCTCCCCTGTACCAATATTCATGTGTCCAAATAAAATAAAATAAATCCACACAGGACGGGCATATGCCAATAATCGACTGGTCAATTGCAGTTCTAAATATCAATAGAAAGATTCGAACAACCAATACAAGAATTGTATGGCCACTGTTACGACGGAAGATTTGAAGCAGCACTAATAGCATTGATACTTCCTTCTCAATATTTGGTTAATTATTTGTTATCTGATAAGTTAACGCACTAGTTTGACCGAACATTCCGCCTACAAAAAGCGGCTTAAATTTGATAGATTTTATAGACGAAATGATGGTGTATCGATGGGGTCATCACTCGCCTCACTTATAGCCAAGTATTTCACGGAGAATCCACCCGGGGGAATTGGAAACACTGATTTCAAACCAATGGTGCACATGGGCTCAACGATCCTAAGGAAGCAAATGGCGTGTGAACCTATTATTGGTCGCTGGCTACCATATGGTTGCTCCCGCTAAAGTTGCTTCATTGGCTTGTGGATTAGAATTTTTGGTCAAAGACTCCGGGCATAGCCCCCTAAGAAAAAAACCTACTTCTGTTCGGGCATCCGAGGAGTATCCTAGCCCTCACACAATGAATGATTTATATGGTACAAATATATTTTGTGCCTTCTTGTACCAATGTTTATCTGTTTAAATAAATTAATTATACATAAGACATATTTCAGCTATGCTTTCATGGCCTGAGCAAAAACATCGAACGCAACACATTCCTAGAGCAGATAAATAGTTGCAACCAATCAATTAAGTTCGCGACAGGGTCACAACTGAACTCTCGATTCCACTTCTTGGATGTTTGACTAGGCAAGACATCAGATAGATCACTGCAAAGCTTGGAATGTAGAAAACTAATTAGTCGAAAGAAAAACTTGTTTCACTTTATTCGCAAGTGTCAGACAAAAAATGTACCCAGATAGATTTGATATACAACTGAATAAACTCCAAAAGACAACAATAACAGCTCTCCACCTGTGCTCATCGGAAGATATTTGAAGCCAAAAACTGTTCAAGCACATTCAAATCAAATGATATACTGAAGTAGAAATCCGGAGAATATCATTTAAACCATTCTAACTCTGTCCCGATAATTAAAATATTTTCTTTCAGAAGAATTTTGACGCTCGTGGTGAAAGCTGAAATTCTTCGGAAGTCACGAGACTGATGCTCCTTCTGACAACCAGAACAACAGTCAAGTCAACATAGGTACATGGAATGTCCGGATAATGTGGGAGACCGTGAAGACTGAATGAATAGCTACAGAAATGAGGAGATACATCTTGGTGGCGCTCGGAATAAGTGGAACCCATCGGACCCAATTTGGACAGAAAAAGTTAACTTCGGGAGAGATACTGTTATACTCTAGTCATGAAGAAGAAAATGCTTCATACACACAATGATTTATACTGATGCTGTCCAAAGAAGCATGAAAAACACTTATAGGTTGGGAATCTCATGGATCCAAAATCACAAAAGGACCCTTAGAAACAAAGGAGGGGCTTACAATGAACGTTGTCCAGTGATATGTATTCACTAACGATAGAAACGAAGACGACAAAGGCTAGTTTTATGAGAGGCTGCAGTCGATCGTAGAGAAGTGTCCAGGAAAGGACCTGGCCATCATGATGGAAGACCTGAACGTCGTGGTCGGAATCCACAATACCGGGATGAATATATCATGTGACGACATGGACTTACAGGGAGAAATGAACGAGAATGGTGACAAATTTGCAGATCAATATGCCTTCAACAAAATGGTTATGGGTGACACCACTTTGCACACAAACGTATACACAAAGCTACACGGATCTCACCGGACCACACTACAGAGAACCAGATCGATCACATTTGGATCACTAAAACATTCAAAAGGACAATGGAAGACGTGAAAACAAGGAAAGGAGACGACATAGCTTCAGATCACCATCTAGTTGTGGCCAATTTAAAACCGAAGCTAAAGAAGAACTGGATAAACAGCATTGCAAAGGTTCAATACAGCCTTCCTTCGAGATACTAACAAAATCAACGAATTTAAGATAGCTCTCAACAACAGGTTCCAAGCCTTACAGGATCTACTGAGGGAAGAAGAAACTAGAAATGGACCAAAGACGTCCACAATATAACACTGATACCTTTTTCAGTGGTGTTATAAAATACAACAGCTTACCAGAAATTTTTTTTACCTCATTAAAAGCAACTCCGACTGTAGATCTTCTAAGAATATTGCCGGCCACAAATCCGGATTAAAGAGGAGGGTTTGCTATAGGGTCAGCAACCCTATCGCGGAAAAACTACCTTGCAAAAAAACACTGATCAGAATTAACAAACTTAACCATTTAAACTCTGTTCTGGGTGTTAAAATTATGACACCTCTATAGCATGCTCAAGGAGTTAAATAGCTGCAACCAATCAATTAAGTTCGCGACAGGGTCACAACTGAACTCTCGATTCCACTTCTTGGATGTTTGACTAGGCAAGACATCAGATAGATCACTGCAAAGCTTGGAATGTAGAAAACTAATTAGTCGAAAGAAAAACTTATTTCACTTTATTCGCAAGTGTCAGACAAAAAATGTACCCAGATAGATTTGATATACAACTGAATAAACTCCAAAAGGCCCGCAAATGCCCTGGTACGGCCGAGAGTGGGGAGAGTCCGCTCTCCCTCTCGAAATGCTCTCACACGGCCACGCGTATATAGCCTCTGCCAGGGAAGTCCTACTCATTGCCTTATCGTGGCGGGGGTGTTGTTTACGAAAATGAGAGGATGAAAAGCGAATGTCCGGCGCTTTAACCGGATTCAAAACCAATGGTGCACATGGGCTCCAGTATCCTGCGGGAACAAATGGCGTATGAACCAACTGTTGGTCATCGGCTTCCATGGGACTGCATCTCCTTACGATGCTCCACTGCCTTGTGGATCAGACCATTAGGTCAAAGGCTCGGGGTGTGGCCCCCTAAGAAAACCACCTTCTTCGGTCTGGGCACCCGGGCAGTATCATAGCCCTCACACATATCGAATGAGATTTGTGTGGCGCACATGTATTTGGTGCCTCTTTGTACCATTATCTATGTGTTGAAATAAAATTAAAACTCCAAAAGACAACAATAACAGCTCTCCATCTGTTGTCATCGAAAGATCTACTGAAGGAAGAAGAAACTACTATGGAGGACAACTGAAAATGGATTAAAGAGGCACTTACTTCAATATGTCAGGAGGTGCTGAGCCGTAACAAGCATCATCATAAGGAATTGGACTGTATCGAAAACCTGGACAAGATTCAAGAGAGGAAGAGCACGAATATAGCAATTAACAACTATATGACACAACGAAAAAACTATCAGAGAAATATAAGAAACCAGAGCGAACTGTCAAGAAAATCAGGGAGAACTAGTTAATGAGGTTTAAGTACAGCGTAACAGGTGGGTAGAACACTCTGAAGAACATTTGATTAGATCAGACCAACGGGACCCACCAGATCTCGAAACAACACCTACTGACCTTCCTATAAATATCACTCCGCCAACGATCGAAGAAATCAGGATGACCATCAGACAAATCAGGAGTAGGAAAGCAGCAGGATCTGAAAACATACCAGCCGAAGCACTGACGTAAGACATAGCAATAACTTCAAACACACTTCAAATTTTATTCAGGAGGATTCGGGGGGGGGGAGAACAAGTGCCACCGACAGACTGGAAAGAAGGATATCTCATCAAGATACCGGAGGAAAGAGATCTGATTGAATGTGAGAACTGTAGAAGCACTATAGTACTATCAATACCTGTTGGGGACGTTAGATCCACAAAACTCATATTTTGTAATTTTATCTTTGTGGAGCTTGTATGCAGATGTATGCTTGGGCATTTCTTACCACCCACGCACATAGCCGATTGACGAACTTATCGATTAAATGTTTAAAAACTTCCATGGCAATATCGATTATATATATATATATATATATATATATATATATATATATATATATATATATATATATATATATATATATATATATATATAGTATAAATACGCTTGATTGTGTGCTTGAGCAACCTGTATCTTCTGGTTGTCTGTAGAGCACACTTCTTACATCTTACCAAGACCTCTGGATCGAGCTAGCTGAGTCGGGGACAACGGACCAGTATAGCCTATCGAGTCTCTGAATTCTTGATTCTTCGTTCCGTTCCGAGTAAGACGAATCAGTAGTAGCATTCAAGTTAACGAACATAGCAACACCAAGAAAAGTTTTCAACAGTGTTGTTAAAACGAATAAAAGATTTAGTGAACGCACAACTTCGAGATAAATAGGCTGGACTCCAGTCAGTCACAACGTGGAACCTGTATGTGTTTATATCACTTCCAGTTCCCATACCCCGATTAAAACAGAGAGATGAAATTGTCAGGCCAAATCCCAGAATAGCACAGGCGGTAACACTGTCAGCGGTAATAGGAAACATTACCATCGAAGGCGCGACTCGAAAATAAATTATAAATTAGCGAAATAAAAACATAAAAGTCATAAGGAATTTAGAATTTTGAGGAAGAATGGATGCACCTGAGCCGTTGCAAATGCTTTTAGGCCATATTATTGAAAGTCTCCAACCAAGTAGTCTACACCTATTAACATGGCTAAGTCCAGTTTTCAGTGACTTCACAGACTGACGCTATGTTTTGATTTAGCCTCCCTCAACTTTCTGCATACTCCTACACCGGACATCACCCGTTGAGGTAGGCGGTTGATTGGCATATGTAACACGTCCTAATCACCTCAGTTGATGAGGATTTCCTAACCCAGGCGTTGCTTACTCGGTGGTCCGAAAATGCACAAGTAATGTTTCAAAGATACCTGTGATCGAATACCAGTAACCTATGAATGTCCTCTACTCTTAATAGCCATGTTTCACATTCATAAATTAGAATGGAGAGGAAATCAAGTAATTATTCCGACATTTATTCATAATTTTTTCCATATTCATCAAATAGATAATTATCTATCGTCTTTAAACTGTCTTCATCTTAACGTATCCTCATTAAGTACTAGATTACTACATAACTTCCTTCCAATATTTGATATTCCCAAACACTTCATGAAGCAATACAGATTACGATAAATTTGTTAAATTACGCAACACCTTGTTTTATTATACACTATCATATTCGATATTTAAAACTTTTGATTACTGTTGATAACTTTTTTAGGTAACACAACACCTTTTTATTTCATTATAGACCATTATTTTCAAAAATTAAAAAATAAATGCGACTTTCTAGCTAAATTAAATATTGTCAAAAAGATATTTTTTAGATGAATTGTTTTAATTCTTTTCTATCACACAACTATTTAGTTAATTTCACCGACACGATAGTTACAAGCACAATTCAATTCTTAAAATGGCTATTGGAATAATAATCAGTGAGAATACAAATAATAATGAGAACAATTCTACAAACTCTGAATAATCTGGAAAACCAATTTATAATACTGAACAGCTAGTCACGTATGATACTAAATATTGCTCATTTAATAAAATTAAGCCAATTAATCTGCAGAGCAAGCGATTAAAATAATATAGTGATAAACAACAAATCAATGATGAAAATGAAAGGTCAATTCCTACCACAGAATACAATGCTACCTTTGTTATTAACGTGTAAGTAACAATGATACAAACAACTACCCCAAACAATAACAAATCAATAGAGTGTGATCGAAGTTATTGTACAATTAAGAATAATGTCTGGATATTACTTCTGAATTGATCAATACTATCCAGGAGAAATACAGGTTTTAATCAAACTGTAACCGAATGAGACCGACTAGCGAGCTAACGAAGAACAGAAAATTCCATCCACCATTTCGATCCCGTAGTCTGAGGTTCACATTCTGCTACTTTAATCAGTTTATTAAATTTATATGCTGTTGATCACCAATAATTTACAATTCTCTTTGAACTTACCTACTTAATATCCTGAAGAGTAACATGCTAGTTAATCTTCGATCTAGCTGTTTTAATGACAGGAATAGTGGGAGTGAATCCATATTGCCTGTTGCCCTATAACCTTCATTTATATCTTTAATTAGTTAACTGGGTCGCACCATTAATTAATTAGCTCGTTTTTATATAAGTTTTGTTTCTCTATTACGCAATTAATTAGCAAGGTTTGACTTTTGAACCCGGTCTAGTTGAGAGTCGGGGATCAGTCCTGTGGGAAGATTATCTTTCCGATCACCTTAATCAACAAGTGATTCGAGAAACATGTCTCACAGCTTTTTATCTGACCAATTTTTCGTTATTGTAAGCAAATCATTTCCTTGAATTTAGATAAATCGTGTGGCGCATATATATTTGTTGCCCCCCTTGTACCAATATTTGTGTTCAAATAAATAAACAAATCGTCTAGCACTAATCTCTTCAGGTGCACCCACACAAAATCCTGGTAAATGACAGTCTCTAATGTTGTTTTGAAGTGTATGTTATTTAGGACGCTTATACTTAATACGCTCAGACGTTAAGATGGTCTTTTGTATGTATATAGATGACATCTGAAATGAAATCGTAAATTTTTGGTGAAATCCCTACAAGTCTCATTATAATACGTCTAAAAATTAAATTTTAAATTTGTCAATAAAAATTATTAGGCGTCTGAGTTTCCAAGCATCAGGAACTTAATAAGAATGATATAAAAAAGTTGATGAAACATTATATTTTAAAAATATTTGTATCCTAGCTCTACTTATTAAAAACTAACTCGTACTTCGGTCTAATCAAATCACCTTTAAACCTACCTGGACCAGTTGAAGAACAGGCTGAACAATAAAATTCATTACACGACTGACAAATGCCAGAACCAATTTCTGGAAGAGTAAATTTCTTCGGGCAGGCTGAGCAAGTGTTAGGCATAAGTTTTCGAATGAATGAGAACGTCCGATGTGTCAGTCAAAAAACGGTTTTTGTATTCAGGTATAGTTCTCCTTATATTGTATATCCACATATTCATATAACATGGTAAGAAATGTCACTGAAGTAATTAAATATAAAGTGGGGTTTTTACTAATTACTTACATAAAGCCACAATTATCCCATAAATTCATAGTCATTTTGAATGAATTAATTCTATTTCTATAAAATGACTTGATTTCAGTTGACTATTACCAGAGGGGATCGGACGTACGTCTACAAGTTCTTTACAAGCTACCATCGAATTCTAGATATGATGCAACAACATGTATGTACAAAAAATTCCCATATCAATTAAGGTTTATCAGTTCAGTCCCATACAATTAATAATGTAAAAGTTTGAAATTGCATAAAATTTATTCCACTTTGTAGCAAATCAAGCCGATACACAATGGTGGCAAGTCCTAATTAGTCTATTACTAACTGGCTGTTTGAACAAGTCCTTAAGGTGTGCTTGCAATCCATGTTTTTGGTATCATTGTAGTGTACCTGGACTTTATTATATTCTTAATAGTAACCAAGTGTTTACATGCTGGGATATTTGATTTTGAGACCACAAAGTATTCTCCAAACATATTTCATTTCTCAGTGAATTGAAATATAGATTGAAACGAATATATTTGGTGATGTTTATTGAAATTTCTGCACAAATGACTAAAAATGAGGTGAAAGATTGAAGTACATATCACTCTAGTGCAGAAT